TTTTGTTGTCATCTTGAATCCGCGTCATCGCGTCATCTTGGATTCTGAAGTTTTCAAAAAACAAATTTTTGTATAACACCAAGTGTAAATAATAAAACTCACTATATATATAATAAAAACTGGGCGATCGACATATATAAAGTCACATGGAATCCATGGAACTTGGTTTTTTCAAAAATGTAAAAATTTCTCTTTCCCTTGTATTAAAATAAATAGTTTACCTGTAGATTCCATGTAAAATACATCTATGAATTTTAAATTTTAAAAAAACTTATTGCAAATTATTCATTGTTATTAATTCCGTCTTACATGTTGCAGAATAACAAGTTATCCAACTTTGTATAGCATTCATTACCTAATTATGTATTACTTCGTAATGGTGTAGAAGTATTTTCTTTAGAAAACAGGCATTGAGAGGAGTGGAAGAGTTTGGCTATAGCGTAATTCAGCAATAGTTATTCACTTATTTCATTTATCAGGCCTGTCAAGCTTTACAAAATGAACATTTACCAATTATTCAATAGTTTTTTTTTTCCATCGCAGAAATTCATTGTCATGAATTCTAGTTAATTTTTATTATTATTAAACTATTTTTGATTAATTTGGTTTTTTTTTTTTGATTAAATAAATAATATTTTATAAGATTGCAAATGAAATAGGCAGAAATAATGTTTTTAAACGTAGCAGAAGTAAACAGACACTTGGTATATATGACCGCCAGCAGATTTTGATTTTTCGCCGCAGAAATTCATCGTGGCATATAAGGTAATGATAGTTGTATAATAATAATAATAAGGAACCGCATGTGACATGAAATATTTTTTACACATTAAAAAAATTACAATATGTCAATTATTCCAGCACCACCACCAGCTCGTTATACTTATTTGATATCAAGGTAAAATTTATTTAATCAACTAATTAATCAATCGAATCCTACCTATGAATCTTTTTTCTTATATTAAATTTATTTTTTATAGACGTGGCGATTTTTTAATATCGATTTTTTCTGGTGCATTATCTTATTATATATATGAAATAGAAGAACGAAAAAAAAATAATGATAGAAAAAGTTTAAAGCAATTAATTATGAACAGAGTAAACAAAAATTTTTCGAAGCAATAAACCAATAAATAATCAATTAAATAAAAAAATAATCAATCAATTAAAAAAATAATCAATTAATTAAATAATCAATAATTAATCTAAATAAATAAATAATCAATTAATTAAATAATCAATAAATCTAAATAAATAAATAATCAAATAATTAATTAACTAAATTAATAAAAATTGTTATTGGAATTGTTAATTTGATTGCCTGATCTTCTTTTTCCATTCGTTACTATTGATCACACTATTTATAATTTGTATACCACGATGTCCCCATATTGGATTTAATTCAAAAGATTTTTTCTCGGCTAACTCAACTGTAACTTGTTGTGGTGTTGTACCTCTTTTTGAAGATTCTTTTAGAATATCTTGAGTACGCCTAAAAATCGAGTTCTATCAAAATAATAAAAATGAGCAAGTACATGAATGATATAAATGGAATAATTGCAGTTAATAAATAGATGTATATATGTGTTGTATTGACTGATTTTGAATTTCGCATTTTCACGCATAACGCATATACAGATATATTGTAATTTTTTGTTTATTTACCTCCCAAGAATCTCCTAAATGTCTCTGAAATAAAGGATCGTTATCAACATATCCTGCTGATTCGTCTGCACAGTTCACAATCCCTTTATAATCGAAAAAAAAATTCAATATTTTTTTGTTTTTATTTCATTCCCCCTTTCAAAAAAAGCAAACAATAATAACAAATACCCATGCGATTAATCAAAAAATCTAATTAGATTAATATTAAATAAGTAATGTTATTAATATTATTTACGTCAATTTTTGTAACATCACTATATAATGATATTATTACCTGGTACATAAATAATTCCTCTATCAGCAAGTAATTTATCATCTTTATATAGATCTATTATTAATGTAACGTTATAGCAAAATATTAAAATTCTATTTTTTTGATCACATTGCAATTATTGTTATCATAATTATTTGCTACTACTATTAATAATGCATTCGTTCGTCAACTCACCGCCTAATTGATTGTTAGCTGCACCACATACAATTTTTGTTTTAATACGTGGAATTGTATTAGGGTTAAGAATTCCACCAACTGCACATGGAACAATTGCATCAACATCTATGAAACGAAATGATTTATTTAACAAACTTAAAGTAAATATTAAAATCAAGCTTAAAAATCAAAGTATAGAATTCATTTCATTTAAAAAAAACTCTCTTTACCATGAAACAAA